AAAAATATAAATACTATTTAAAAAATAAAAAATAAAAATAATAATTTTCATTTAACTTAAATAGAATTTTAGAACCATGCTACATATATTAATCCTTTATCTTACTTTCATATTTATAAATTTCATACTTAAATTAATAAGTAACAAAGATTTATTAATGGAAATTCATGTATATATAGGTTGAAATAAATAGAGTACCTATACTAATAGAAATTCCAATACTATTTTTGATTCCTTACTTATTTGTCTTAATTCCATGAGTATATATTATTGATCACCTTACTTATATATCATCATTAACAAAATTTACGGAAAATCTTATTAAGAAACAATCATAATAATACTAAATTTGTAAATTATGATCACGGGTATATTATTCATCACCTTACTTATATTATGTATCTTGGATAATACTAATATTATTTTCGATATCTTTACTTATATATGACAATCCTTAATTATGTATCTTGGATAATCAATAATATGATTATATGTAAATATCTGTATTCAGATTACAACAATACGAACTCCAATTACGATGATAATATAAAAAATTATAAATATATATGAAAAAATATAAATACTATTTAAAAAATAAAAAAAGAATATTTTTAATTAATTTAAATAGAATTTTAGGACCATGCTACATATATTAATCCTTTACTAAGGAATTCTCACCATAATAAAGTCATTCGTAAAATACAAAAGGTAAGTAAATAATTAAATGTGAAACTGTCCTAATACGGCCGTGCATTAGAAAGTGATTGACAAAATTTATGAAAAATATTATTAAGAAACAATCCTAAATAGTACTAAATTTGAAAATTATGATCACGAGTATATTATTCATCACCTTACTTATATTATGTTTGTTGGATAATACTTATATTATTTTGGATCCCTTTACTTATATATGGCAATCGTTAATTATGTATCTTGAATGATCAGTAATATTATTTTGGATTCGTTTATTTTTAGTAAGAAATTCGTTATATCTAGGATGGACCCAATATTATTTTGAATTTCTTACTTATATATCTAACTGGCAATGAGTTAAATTACTCACTTTTATATCCAAATTTATGGAAACTCTTATATAATTGGGTCAAAATCCTATTATAAAAAGAGATATATAATGAGTTGAAATGTGACACCCATCACCCATTTTCATTTTCCATTTCAATACATAGGCATTCAGAATTAATTATGCAATAAATAAGCGGATAATCGTTAATTCAACTTCAGCTTTTGTTTTTAAAAGGATAGGTGGTAGGAGCATCCTATTTTTCAATTTCAATTGGGGCTATGGAAAATCAAGTTGACGATACATGGACGAGATCAGCTAGAGATGCAAGAGAAATGAGAAAATGAATACTTCAACAAAAAAAGATAGAAAAGGTACGCACTTTAAAGATTGTTTTATCTTAATACATTTAATTTTGTTTTATTGTTTTAAGGTAATTTGATGCATAACATTTTTGAATTATTTAAAATAACAAAATGAAATGGGATATGTTAGTGACCAGAATTTTTGTATTTAAAATTTATATGGTTGCTTTTTAATGAGCATTGAAAA